AAGCAATAGCTTGCAGGGAAGGGAAGTTCTTTTTGCAAACAGGGAAACGCCCTGTGTGTGTGTGTGTGTGTGTGTGTGTGTGTGTGTGTGTGTGTGTGTGTGTGTGTGTGTGTGTGTGTGCGCTGTGCAAATGATGACTAGATGGTACGTGAGAGGAGCATGCAGAGTGTGTGTCTCATGGTGATATAGTACTGAGAGAGTCCAATACAGCAACTCAGCAACTTCATGTTTATTTGAAAAGTTTTAACTGCTGAAGTTACTACTGTTAGTCACAGACTTTGCTATCCAGGAATCAAAAGCCACGTTTTGCTCTTTTGCTCTAATAATTCATGGCAAAACAAAAGAAAAATCCTATTAAGTCGTTTTACCTACATTTAAAGGCTGGATTTCTTTGTCTTGGTGCCACAAAACTTCTGCAGGCATACTACAACCATGTGATTGCTACCACACATAATACAGCTTTTAGCACTAATGTGTGCAAGTGTGTGTGATCTATTCAGACACCAATTATTCTGTCCCTCTTTAGGACACCAAGAAGTAAGCATTTGAATATGTGAAATCAATGCTGTGCATGATGAAAAGCTTCAAAGAAAAGGCAACAGACAAACAAGAAGAGAAGAGAAGAGAAGAGAAGAGAAGAGAAGAGAAGAGAAGAGAAGAGAAGAGAAACTGAGTTGAGTTCGGGGTTTGAGGTTATAGAAATGGAGAGGAGTAGAAATAATAGGAGAAAGGGGTGATTGTGTTTGTCTTGTTGAGGCCGGGCCACTTCCCTTTTTGACCGCAAGAACTTTTAAGGGAACTTTTTGAGGGACTACCTGCATTTATACAGCAGGAACCCGGATCTAGTTTTAGCTCTTACCCTGAAAATCTCCCCACTACCATGACACTGGTCAAACACAAGTTTCATTATTGACATTTAATATAGCAAACAAATAACCAAAAAAAACTGTGTCTTGAGTTTCATTTTCAAATATTTAAAATCTCCAACACTCATATATCTCTTCTCTAACATACATTCAAACAACACTCACCTACAGCAGTGAGGACTGTGTTTTCTTCTTTCGTGCAACACTTGAATCTCAGTCTACACAGTGGCTTTTTAATGGGTTATCGCTCTAATTTCTCTAATTACGGCAGCTTTTAAGATATGATGGGAATGCAAAAACAAGTCCTCTGAAGATTCTTTGAGTTCCTGAGTAGGTCCTGATTTTTCACTCTCTGAGGCCATTTGAATGAAAAGGCCTAATTGTTTTCTCCAGCTCTCTCTGCTCCATCTGAGTCTCCATCTCCTCTAATTGGGTCCGTCTTAGCATGTCAGAATATCCTGTCTGCTGACCAGGAGGCCGTTCCACTGGATTAAAATGAAAACGAGGCTAATGGGGCTCACTTTCCTCCAGCGTCAGAGCCCACTGACATGACTGACATGATATCAAAAAACTAACCGGCAATTAGTGGATCAAAAAACTACCCACAACACAATGCAACATGAGTCAAAGTAAAATTTAGCAATCACTACAATCAGCTCCTGATGTCTGCTGTAAGGCTTCAATTTGGAGCAGAACTAAATAGCAATATAAGTTGGACTACAAACCATTTCACCACACAACAGACAGTGGATCACTGTGGCTTACAGTAGGGACTGCAACAAACTGCACACTACTGTCTGCACATAAACATTGTCATAGTGACTCCTTCTCCATTTCCCTCCTCCGCTTCTTCATCCTCTTTTTCAAAGTCCCACTGTGTGTTCATGAATTTTCCACACCCTGTCATGCCTAAACTGCCCCCTGTCCTCACTTAGTTTCCCTCCTCTAGGGATCACCTGCCTGCAATTCTTAATACCTTCACATACGTTTGTTGCAAAGATGCCATGGCGTTCCAGCAAAGTCTATGATTTTCAAGTTATATGTTTTTTTTGTGGTGCCTGGTCCCACTCATTTGTTTTCCTGACTTGACTGACCTTATATACCTCTGCTTGTTGCTTGCAAGCCTGCTGATTAACATTAGACCTTACTAAAACTGATTTTCACAAAACCTGCAATTTCTCTGTTTTGCCATTTGCTTTCTGTTGCCCTCTTAAATGAATTCCTCAAACACACTGTAAGACACAACAAAACTGGTTGTAACTGTGTGCATTTCACATAGAGCTGTCTTCATAAATGTGCTACTTTTAGCACAAAAACCATGGTAACAGTGCTCTCAGCATCTCTGCAAACGTAAAAGAGGGACTTCCTCTGCCCAAGGCTGCATACTAAAAATGCAGTGTGTTAATGTTGTGACTCTGCAATACAAACACATGACAGATTTTTTACACAAGGCGATGTCTTTTTCTGTCTAGGCACAGTATAGATGACTTTTTTTACATTGTATAAAAATCTGTTTATAAAAAAATACCTTTTCTGTTGAGAAAAGTCGTGATGATGACACACTACAGCAAGGTTCAAAACTAACTTTCCTCTGTTGTTTCATTAATGTACATAACGTTAATGCAGAGGTCTAAGCTTAGAATTGAGATCCGACCGAGCATCCATGCTGGGTTTCCATTACTAAATACTTAAACTGCAATGTAATGAAAAGGCAACCCACATATAAATAAACAGAGGAAAAGCCCAGATGCTTTGTCAGCATCTCCAGCACTCAAATCAATCCACAACCAAGTGTTTTCTTTGGGGACCATGTGTATGTTTGTGTGTGTTTGTGTATGTGTGTGTGTGTGTGTGTGTGTGTTTGTGCAGTGTAAGTCATTGTTCTATTGGCCCAGTTCCTGCCCTGGTTTCCCCACTTACACACACACACACACACACACACACACACACACACACACACACACACACACTCAGAAAGTGTCTGTTAAATGTACACAACAGTGTACAACAGATCTGCACAGCCCTCATCAATTTCCAATGAATTACCTGTTAGCATTACAAACTATCAGTATTGCTTTGCCTATAGTAATTCTTATGGAGGCAGAAAAAAAGTATTTTGTTGAACAGAAATAAGGATTGTGAGAAGAATCTCAAATAATTACTGAAGTTTTACTCTTCACAAAACAAGAATCCTCTCAGAGGAAGCTTCTTCAGAAAACAGGTCTATCAAATCAGCTTCTCATGTCTCCGCTGCCTCTGTTTGTGGGTTGATGACATAAGAAACCCTAAAATCCCTGCCCTGAATGAAACTGCTCACCATTCATCCATGTTTGGACGTTTCCCCTTGTTGAAACATCAATGAATGTGAGTCACAGGATGAAATGTGTGACTTTCTACCCCTGTGTAAAAGCACCCAGTGTAAAGGGCAACACAGGACTTAGTGTCTTAGTGCATCTCTTGCAACATTTCCTCTTTCAGGAAATCAAGTGGCAATCGAGGCACACACCCACCTTCTGTCTCACACACACACACACACACACACTTCTGCGAACTATCCATGAACCTCATTCATTCTTTAACCCTAAACTTTTAACCTCTACCTTAATTCATACCTTTATCTTAAAGCTATATACCACATTTTTAACAAGACCAAGCCTGAGTAACTCATTTCAAAGCTGTTTTATAGTTAGCTTCTTGAAATTATTGATATTTTGATATTAACACTGATTAGCCACAAAACAATACATAACTACAAGTAACCTGAAATTGCTCCTACTGAGCAAACCCAGTAGAGAGCGCACTACTGTCACACCAGAGACCGTTCGCATCCACAGTCCCGTCTGTGGTTATGTTTAGTCAACAAAAGCAGGAAAAGACATTGGTTTTAGTTAAATGTAAGTAAATAGTTCCCTGAAGTCACGGGTTAGGGTTAGGGTTTTCTGTACTAAACCAGGCCACAATTTTCCCTAACTCTATCCAAGTGCTGTGAGGGTTTAAAAATAACCATAAAATTGTTTAATCATGCCATTGTCACTGCAATTGGATATTGTACAGCAAGATCAGACATTCTGGCGGAAAACGAATAGCTCATCTGTGAACATTTTACATTCACTTCAGTTACAGTACCAGTCAAATGTTTGGACGCAAAATGGGAAAGTGTGCAAACTTTTGAATGGCACTGTATGTTCAGTATCATTTGCAACTTGCCAAATACATAAATTTACAACAAATCCTCATTGTGAAAGAAAACGTAATCCGGTCGCAATTACGTTTCCTGCAGGATATATCTGCTGTTTCAGTTTAGTTGGGTAGAAATGTCATTTTTAAGAGGCAGGGGTGACTGCACATGCCTTGTCCTGTAGGAAGAATAACCATACTCTTCCATAATTCATTTTGGATTTAGGCAATTTCGTATCACCTTCTGTATAAACATGTTTATTTGTCTTTTCTTTAAGGGGCAGTCATGTTATTAGCACATTAGCAGTACATCTTACTGAGGCAACAGTAATGAGGTTTTAAATTCTAATGGGTGTGAACCCTCTGTTGCACAACCATCATTTGCCCAAGAAGACCTCCTTTTTCAATGTTCAAATCTTCAACTAGTCCATAAACCCCAAGTAAAACAGTATGTGGTATAGGTGACCTAGCAAAAGCATACGATAATGGGACACAACCATCTGCACAGGCCTAAATAAAATTTAACACCTCTCGTAACCACAAACCACTCATACATATATACAAACAGATATTGCGATAAGGAAGTGAGCCCCACCCAGGGCCCTTTAAAGATGCTGCAGATGCTGGTGTGTGTATGCTACAGGATATTTCAGTCAAATGAGAATTTCAGCTATTTTTTTTGTAACTGGAAGTAGCAGAAGCGAGTTTTACCAGAAATGACGTGTCAGATTCTGTAATATACCATGTCTCCGTGTGGCAGGGCTGTTGGTGGATCAACTTACTGCCAGCGTTTTTGTGTGCAAACAGTGTTTAGATGGAAACATGACAACACAATTAAATCATTTTTTCGTTTCAGTATCACAGTTTACAGCAGTGTTCAAGTTCTTTCATGCATGCATGCAACAAACCAAACCAAATTGGAAAAGAGGGACAGAAAAGCATCATAAGAGTGCTTACCTTGTACACTTGACCATAGGTTCCATTGCCAACCACCTCCACCAACTCAAAGATACCTGCAGGATCCTAGAGAAATAAAAAACATTAACACTGTCAAGAAAAAGAAAATAAAACTGGGATTAGAGTGATGTCAAGTATCAAGTATGTGAGCTGAGTCAAACAGAGAGAGCAAAGATGAGTATAATTAATATAGTCAACAAACGAAAAAACAGTATAACAGTAGAAACAGTGTAGAAAACCGTGCATTTCAGCAAGGTCACAGGTTCATGCCATGCAAAACTATGACAAGTAGCTTTATATACTCAGTGCTGAGGGCAAATGGAGAACAATGCATTGTTATACCGGGATGTGGACTGAGGAAGTGGTACTGAAAATGCGGATAACATTGTGAGCTACAAGTAATGAAAATACAGATTGAAAATCATTGAAATTTTCCTTAGTTTGTAATTTTATAGATCGTGGCTTCACTGACTACTGAAATATTATCACCTTGAAATACATAAAATGCCATTACATTTTTCTAGACATATAGTGTCATTATCTCCAAAGATACCAATATTACAGGACTGAGAGACAAACAGTGTAGTATAATGACCAATGAAAAAAGATTAAGGAAATTCCAAACTGCAGCATAGGACCAATATAGAGTAGCGTTTCAGTATTATAACCATGTGAATTTGGTTAAAACAACAATACTGTATGTCACAAGTGTGTGACAAGAGTGTTTTCTTTTCTTTATGGTTTTTCTGTCAAACAGTTTACGTTAGTGGGTTTTCTTGTTGTCGATCACTTGTTGCATGTCAACTTTTCAGCAAAGGAAAATCCAGTGTGTAAACACTGTAACTTGTAAACTTACAACAAACAGGACGCAGTGCAGACAGAAAACATTATGTTACTCGATACATTACACAGGAACACTTAAACACACGATAAAGGTTTCTTAAACAGTACTTAAAGTGAGAGCCGACTTTTTGGCAAGATCTTTTTTTTTAAATCTCCGACTGCCCACTAAGTTGTTGCTTGAAACTACCGTTAAGTTTCAAGGAACACCCACCACATCCTACAATGTTTACTCAAACACTTCTTTAAAAAGGAGGACAACATTTCTATCCTTACTCTTAAAGCAGCGAGGTCTATACTGTCCAAACTTCGGGTGGTGTTTTCTCTCGACATTGCTGCCAATAACTTTGTCAGCGTGTTGATGTTTGTAGACAAGACATGGACGGTCACAGTTTCTTCTCTACAAACTAACGGCTTTTCCTCTTGTCGGGTCCATTCTGAGGTTTGGCTAGCAGCGTCAAGCTAGCCAGCGTCATACACACGACTTCCATACACGCCTTTCAAAATAATTGTCTTCCTCGGCACACCTGTTAAAAATGGATTGATTTGGGGGTTTCTTTGTTATTGGTGATACAAGATGATACAGAGACTATCAGCAATATAATAGAAAAACATACATCATATCAAAACATGTTGAACCTTCTGTAGCTTTCGCTAAACCTATTGTAAGTCCCTACATACAGTGGAGTCCAAAAGTTAAAACCACTGTCCCCATTGGTAAATGGTCACTGTGGACAGGCTTGATTGAAAGTTATGCAATTATTTAGTAAGTTTTAATTGCCTTTTCACGACCTAATTCTTTCTTTTATTATTATTTACTGTTTCAGGCACGAGTCAATTTTACAACTCAGCTTTAATTATGAAACTACCAACATCCTGTTTCCGGGTGCAGCAACTACGGTTCACCTAACTTTACTGAGTTGTTGCCCCTAGGTTTTGCAGCTGAGAAGTGATTTCTCAGAAACTTGACATCTAGTGAACCGACGAGACGAAGAACTTTTATTTTACTAAACCCCTGTTTCTACAGTGTTGGTGTCCAAACGTAGTTAGCAGGAATAATGAAGTGTAGTACACAACAATCTTTCCACGTGTATTCGTGTCCGTGGTCGTGCGCGCGCGTGTGTTTTTGTGGTGAAAGGTCCTCCTCACGTTATTCTATAAAAAAATAAAATAAAAAAACTCAGTAGTCACTGTCTACTTTGTAAATGCCTTTTGTAAATCAGTGATAAGTGAATTAATAACAAGATAAACATTCAGTAAGCTCTACTGAAAGGAACGTAAACACACACACAAACGCTGACAGTGTGACTACACTGAACATGTTGCCCTGACAATCATTCTTACAGTTTACCCTCAATCATTCCTGAGCATTTGCAGGTGTTTCATTTCTATTCTGGTATCCCCTTCACATTAAGGGGGCACATCATATTTATTTCATAACAGTTGACATCTTAAGGATGTCAGCCATTTGTTGTTATTTTACCTCATCCTTCAACCTTTTTAACATAACAAAACTAAGCAACCATCAAGGCTGAGGTTGACCCAGTAAAGGCAGACTTCTTAGCTTCAACAGACCTATTCCACAGCAGACACTTGTGATAGCACACGTGATAGCAGGGAAAGCCCTCAGTAACACTAATGAATGCTGCACTGTGCACGTGTCCAGTTCCAGATTGGAGAAGGAGAATTTGAAATTTTTGATTGAACATGAAAGAAAATAAAAATGAAAAAATTCTTCTGCCTATTTTTAATGAACAATGCTTGTTTTGTCCCATCTTTCTGTAATGTCCCGGTGAACATCGACAAAGTGGCTCTTTAAACTTCGAAGGAAATGGGGCCTGCCAACAGGCATTCGCAAAATAAACATTTTTTGCTGTTCAAAACAGATTCTCAAACAGTGTAATGTGTGTATGAGCAACTTTATGTGCTACATACGAGTCTCACAGCTGCCACTAATTTTGCATGATGGATTTTTGGCCACATGGGGGCAGCGGAAACAAGTTGTGAACAAAACATTGACAGAGCATCAACTTGGTAGCGACTTATTGCTTATTTACACATGCAGCCATAACAGAGCAACAAAATAATTTATCTGGTGTGGTGTTTGTGGCCACTTGGTGAATCTGTTTGAGATCTTTGTACCAACTCCTGAATATCTGGCTCTTACACTGTTAAATGCTCCACTCTGTTCACCAGCTTTTTGTTAACATTCTCTGCTGTTTGTTGCTGTGCAGGTAGTGTACAATGGGTTTTTAGAGCTTTGTCTCTGAAAACAGCGCTGCCTGCTGCAGCTAAAAATTAGGCTATGCGAGTGGTGAGACTGAACTAAAACAGTAACGTTTTCACTCAGATAGATTAACATTGAGCACAAAAGTCACTTCAAAGCTCTGTAGCTTCATAGTTCTTTGTAGTTTCATCACAAGCAACCCCCTGTTATATTCACAGCTATAATCAATATTAAGACAATATTGATTATAGCTGCTTATTTGTGATAGTACAATGTATTCATAAACATAACCCAATTACGCTCTCATGTTTTACCAACTCCAACTGATGTGTGCTAATTGTTGCAGTAAAAATTCTGGCTCACTTATTTCATGCATCTGTGTAAATTATGCACTGTAGGCCTACTGACAGGACATGATACTTGATATGAGAGAATAATAATTATCAGCTATCAGCAGTGACTCGGTATCGGAATGTGATGAGACAGTCCAACCAGGCCAGAGCTAGCTGGTTAGCATGCTAACTTCAGTAGCAGAAAAGAAGTGATAGAAATAGAAGCAAAACAAGAAGGTTGCTTTCAACCACTGGAGACAGCTCTTGGTAAAGGAACGTAAGTAAGTAAAGGAATGAAGTCTGATGCTGAACTCGTCCAGTTTCTTATAGACTGGTAAGTCAACAGCTGTTAATGCTAATCTTGGCTATGTAGCAATAGCAAAACTTACAAATAGCTCCCATTAAGTATGTTCCCTCTCAGTTATTTATGCTGCAGTATTTATTTGCTTTACCCATGTAATTATGTTTTTAAGTGCAAAATGTATTGGAGAGATGGAGCTTCACATTCCAGTCCCCTGACTGAGCCATTGAGTCACAGTCATCATGGTGGAATAAGGGTCATTATGTGGTGGGACACAGTCAGTGTGTGTATGTGTGTGCATGTGTGTGTGTGTGTGTGTTGGGCAGAAACAGAGAACGCAAGACTATGCTAGAATCCTGTGTGTGAGTGTGAGTGTAGGAGAATGAGAGAAAGATGGCAAGTGACTCTCTTGCACCCTCTGTGTGTGTGTTTGTGTGTGTGAGTGACTGTGACAAATTAAAGAGTGAGAGAGGGGGGAGAGAGGATAGCTACGAGTGTGCAGTGTGTGTGTGTGTGTTTGTGTGTGTGTGTGTGTGAGTGTGTTTCTGTCCCAGCAAAGAATGGTCTCTCTGTGGTCTCACACAGTGGCCCTGTTCACACCAGGGTCAGCTGCCTGCACACACACACACACACACACACACACACACACACGTACACACACATACACTCAAACACACACATTTCTGGACTTGTATCCAACCTAAACAAGACAACATTCTGTGAAACAACTGAATAAGAAAATTCCAGAGTGATGGATGTCGTTTGTCTGTCTCTCATTTCATTTTCTGTGTGTGTGTGTGTGTGTGTGTGTGTGTGTGTGTGTGTGTGTGTGTATGTGTTTCTGTGTATATGCAATCAGGTAACGAGGTATTCTGTGTCTGTGTCAAGAGGAAGTTGATATTCCACTTATTTCAACCATTTCCTCAGGACACTTGCATGCATACATGCACACACATACATACACGAATACACACACAGTATACAGTGATAAGAGTTGTATCACTGTAAGTTCCTCAGAAGCAAAGAGAAGGGAGGGGATTTCTTATTTTGTCAGGCACATCAAAGCCTCAAATATTTAAACTTTTTATTCTAACCTATACATGATGACAAATTTCTTATTCAAGATATAAAGAAGACACAGTCACAATGAACATGGTTTAAAAACAATGGTTAAAAATGCTAGTTAGTCAACTGGTTACAGACAGGTGACAAATTAAAGGAAAAACCTATATAAAGAGGCTTACTGAGGTGTTCGAGACACCACGAGCCTCCAGAGCAGCTTCTATTGACATATTCATCCCTGAAATAAATGTATATTCTGAAGGTGGTAGAAACATCAGTCCAAAATCTCTGTGTTTAATTGCCACAGCCTATGAGTCATATCATCTTCATGGTCAGCAAACCATCTGGTGCCCCAAGATTAACTCTATTATCCCAGGTGTTGTCATCCTGGAAAAGACCTCTCTCAATTCCACACAGCCTGCAGTTCTCAAAAGACAATCTTAGAAATTAGTAACAGGAAATGTTGAAACTAAGCGGCCCATATCTAGCATGGTCTAGTTGTTTGACCTCTCCTGAACTTGTGATTCATGACATTTCACAATCAGGCCAAGTTCCTTGGTCAGATTCAGGGGGCTGACACTGGGCCAAAGAAAGACCAAGTTCGAGTGCAGCTACCCCATCCCCAAAATTTGCCATTTGGTCCTCCATTGTCAGACACTTAGCCAACTCAGACCCTCCAACCCACCTGACATTAAAGTGGTTACAGAGGGGTTAGAGACAGAAGCAGTATAGAAGTCAAAGTTTAGCTTGCTGCAGGTATTGGTGATCGAGTTGGTTGAGGTCACTCAAGAACAACAAGTGTTTAGCCTGGGACCCATCAATATAGTTAGCTGCTAGAACAGCATGTCCTCACATTGGACATTTTTTTCATCCATCTGAGGATAAAAATATAAGAATAAGCACACATACACACAAACACATAGAGAAAAAGATCCTGCAGAGGCATACTGTAGTGATTCTAATAGGCTGGCTGAGCACATCTTTTTATCTGTCTCTGTCTCCCTCAGTGTCTCCTTATCGGCCTTTTTCTCATGGAAGAGCCTCAGACACCGGCTCACAAACTTTTAAAAGATACAGATGCCCTGATATATATAAAAAAAAAAAAAAAAACATGTGACAGGATTTTAAGTTGGGATGTAATGTAGAGTCACATAGGAATTATAAATGGAATTGCTGTATGAAAAGTTATCAAAACTTAATTAGCACTTTATTTTATTTCTCTCATTTCCTACCACACTACTCTCCTTTCCCTTTTTCTGCTCTCTTACCACATGAGAGCGCTGTTGCTTTTGTTTGCATATTACCAAGCTCATGGGTGACATTGCTCTGTATGTGAGGTGAAACCCCCACCAGAAGTGTTAGACGGGGCTACTTTCACTTCCGTATAAAGGCAGAGGCAGACAGGAAGTGGTTTTTAAAGATGTGTATGTTTGGGTGTGAAAAAGAAAAGAAAAAATGCAAATCATTTTATGTCATGTGTATCAGTTGAGAGATCAAAAAGGAGTGAGGAAGAGATAACAGGTAGAAATCTACTGAAGCAATGATTTCAATATGATTAAACATGCTATCGTTTCACAATACAATTCAACTCACTGTACTTCATATGAACGGATAGAATACATAATCTCCAACAAGAAAAAATATATGTATTGGTAAAAGGATCATTCAAAGAGCAGAGAAGCACAAGAGGGGAAGTACTTATGCTTGAATTTTGCCCTCATCAGCTTCACCGAGGATTGTAGCTTCCTTAAATAGTAACTCATACTAAAAGTAAATTATTTAATGCTGCTTGTTAAAGCTACAGTATGTGACGTTTGTCTAATATTCTTCAGTTCCAAAACTTATCTTAATGTGTACATGTGCTGTCAAAGGCTTCTGTGACGCAGTCTCTCTTCACTTCCTATTCACATGAATAGCTTAAGATGAAACTGTGATAACCAACTGAAGCAGTTAGTTGAACATCATATGTAGAAATTATTTGCTTGCTACATCAAGCTCAGTGAGGTTTGCATGTTTTTTGTGTTTACTGCTGAGGGCACCACTGAATGTATGGAGAAATCATTTTGCTGGTGAATAGTTTGGTTACAACTCTAATAAAAGAAATACATATAGCTGCAGACTACTGTGAATCTGTTACTCCTGGCAGTATATTTAATTCCTGTTGTGGATATGTAGGTTGTTGCAGGTCTGCAGTAACTACAGATACTGCTTTGCAGTATACCGTGAGAGCTGCAAAGTTTGTGGTTGTATGCAGGTGTGCTTGTAAGATAAACATCTTTCTTTTCTAAGTTAGGTTTCTGTGGTGAAGGACAGTCACACTTTGTGTATGACTATTCTTTGTACCCCTGTAAAAACAAATTTCCACTGTCTTCATGCCATTAAAGTTACTTTGAAGACGGAATTAAAATGTTATACTGGTAGGGGCTTTGAATGCAGACAGCTCCATTGTTCTACAGTGTGGTAACTATTCAGCCTGCTACTTCTTTGTGTTTGTGCAGGTTAATATACAGTAACTTCTTTTAGTGAGAGTCACACTTTGTGTCCTGGGCATGTAAGCTCAAGAGCAACTGTAAATATCATCCTAAAATATTTTAATTACATCAATATATTTACAACCATTTGTGCAATCTTTGCAATCAACTAAAATATGACACATTTTCCTTACCGTCAAAATGCATATCTGTCTCACAACCTCTATCTTAGTATCAAAAGTTGATTCCATACGTCACAGAGAAAAAATATCATGACGACAGTAACTTAAGATGAATTTAGGGTTATGATGTAACTGCTGTATTGTGCAAAGGGGTTATGCATTTACAAGGTGCAGCTTTTAAACGGTTTAAAAGAAGGCACGGGCAGAATTGATTAACAGTCACTTTGTGTTTGAGTTTCATACATTCGCCATACGTCCAGAAGCTGCTGAGAGCTCCCCAGAATTGTTGTAATGACAGAGGTCCAGTAACAGCTGCTTGTCGACAAAGGCATCATTGCCATAAACAAGCCACTGTGAGGAGGATCTGTTGGTGCGATTCCAATATGTCTCAAACACAGTCCCACATAGACATCTTCAATGTAAATAGCTTTAACATGCAAAGATGCCTCCAGTATCTTTTGGGGCAAATCCAGTGAGAACACATAGCCCAGTCCCAGGGCGTACGGTGGGTAGGTTGGCTCGGGGAAGGCAGAAACAGGCAGAAACCACTTTGAGGTCTGGTCTCGAAGAACAGCAGCATACCTTGCCACCAGTCCTGTCAAGTAGAGATGTTGGGGGGCTTTCAAAAGCATGTCAACAAGCTTCTGGACATTAAGGAACATGTCCGAGTCGACCTTCATGGCGTAGGAGGTGTTGGGGCAATGAGAGCTGAGCCATTCAAACATGACCATGGTTTTAATGGTGAGGTTATTGTAGCTGTCCACAAAGCTACTCTGGAGAATGTCTTTATGTCTCCGGCTTTCCTGTAACACCTAAAGAAAGACAGGTAGGAGGCTTAGTTTAGTTTCTAGTGGAAACAAATTAGCAACCACTTGGTTATTTCCACATTCAGCAGATATGGAACAACATTAGTGTTCATTTTGAGTCGGGTTTCTGACCACCTGGCAAATGTAAGTCAAATCCACTCTCCTATATCTGAAATATCTGGCTCATTACTGATACATGCTCGACTGTGTTCACCATCTAGTAACTTTGTCTGCTGTATGTGCTGGGCAGGTAGTGTACTGTGTGTTTATCAGAGCTTTTTTTTTTTTTTTACTGAAAACAGCTGCTGCTACAAACAGGTTTGGTGACAGTGGTAAGACTTAACTAAAGGAAGAACAGAAATGCATTTTGATTTCCCCCAATGAACCCCTGGAACATTTTTTTTCTCTCATGTTTGTTGAATGATAGTAGAAAGGGATACTGAAAAAGAAGTCAGTAATTTAAAAAATGAATATACTCACTTGCTCATCCAGGAGCTTATCTCCCTCACTGGACACTCCCAGCAGGAAGAAGTGACTGACAACTTTGCCCAGCACTGTAGTTTCTTTGGCCCAAGTGTTACGAATTATGTCACGGGCCTCCCTGTTGTGAATTGCGACTGGGATCATAAGAACCAAGAATGGGCTTTCCTGCTGACATCTGATTGGTTCATCCAATCTGAAAGTGTAGTTGTGCGGGTATGCCACAAAGTACTGTGAAGCAGAGGAGGTTGGTGTTTTTGAGTGTTGCACCTCATTAGTGCTGGGTTAAGACTACCTTTTTTTTCTATAGCCTACTCTAATGTTAGCTACACAGTGAAAAGTGGCGATCTATTACGATGTGTTCAGACAAAGTGAATTTTTGAATTGCTATATTTAGCTTGCTTACTTGGCATTATTAACTAGTAAGGCTACGTTTAGGGAACAACTGGTTTTGTTCAGACTTGGGGTACGTGTGAACCTCATTCACTATGAGGATAGCACTTACACCTATCTAAATGTAGGTAGAGCTAAAGGAAGATTAGCTGCTCTAAGTTAGCTCTAATGTTAAACTAAATGTTAGCGTAGGTAACGATAAGTTAGGTGTTGCTGGTCATTTAATATCTCCAAACTGGCTGCTTGTTAGATACAATGTCTTATTTTATTTGTGTTAAATGCAGAATAAGTGGCTTGAGTTAAGAGAATTTGGAGTTGTTTAGTGGAGCTATTCTGAGATAATTAAGTAACAAGGTATGTAATTTATTACTCTTGCTGAGTAATTAGTAGATAGATAGATAGATAGATAGATAGATAGATAGATAGATAGATAGATAGATAGATAGATAGATAGATAGATAGATAGATAGATACTTTATTTATCCCTGAGGGAAATTCATGAAAGAGTACTGTAATTACTTATTCAATGATTAAAATATAATGTGTAGGCTAATTCATTATATTTTTCAAGTAACTTGTCCAACACTGCCCAGGATATCATTTTTTTTGGTCAAGTTATAACATTTTCAACTCCAGCAGAAGCATTTTTAGCTTTAATCATTTCTTCATGCCTCATTTGAGAATTTTCAGCAACTTTGTTTGTAATTGTGCAGCGCCTACAATTCACTATGCAACTGTTTGAACACACCATTTAATAAAATGGACTTAAGTACAGGCACTTTAGTACAGTAAAAGCAACTTATTAGCCTTATGTATAATTTTCTAATTCATAAATTTCACTCAGTCTCAATTTTAGCTGAATTTCAACAACTAAATGTTAAAGTCTGTCCTGGAAAGAGACATTAAGAGGTATCTCCTAACTTAGAAACATTTTTTGGTGACAACAGCATCATGTATTAAAAGAAGGAGAAACAGCATGTTAATATTGATTTATACAAGATGCAAGGGGTTCACAGGAGGCCCATTTGGGGTCCTATGACCATGGTTTAAACACATACATTTATAAAACTCGAGTTACATCCAGATTACGTATAATGTTTTGCTGTGTCTCATTATGTGGTCTCTGTGTTTACATTCATCTACTCGTACAGAACAGTGATCCCAGTGTAATCCATTTGAGACTGAGAGTCTTTTTAATTTCCACAGCCCTGTACCCTTGGAGCCTATGCATGTAACTGCTGTAGAAGTAGCATGCCCCTTACAGCAGGTACAAATTCTGCTTTACTCTGATGATTCATCTGAAATGTATGACTGTTCTTATTATCAGATTAACAGGTAAGCACAGCGCTGATGCATTACGTGTGTGGATTTGTCTTTGCCTCGGTCATTTTGATAGCTGCATCTGTTTCAAGACACGGACACAGAGGCCAGTAGATATACTTACACTGCCAATTTCAGTAGTCATATTGTTGTAAGATTGGCTCGACACTGAAGTTGTCTTCCAAAAGTTCAAAGGCAATAATACCTTGATGCTTGACATGTTGAAAATACATATTACTGTTCCCAGCATTAAGGGCGGCACCAATAACCGTGGCCTAGCTCTTGTCCATAGAGTCTTTTCACTGCCAAGACAAAAGTGAAAAAGGACATCTTTAATGCCCATTAACTGCACAGCAGAAGCACTTTACAATCCATTATGGGATTGGAATCAGGAAGCACTTTGCTAATAATGCCTCTTCCTTGCCTAGTAATGCAGGGAATCTTCATTAGTAGTGATTTATGTATAACTGTTTACAGCAAGTAAAGGAGTTTCCATTAAAGTCTGCATCCATCAGAAGTGTGATGTATGTTAACACACTGTACACATTGATGTGAAGTCTATTGCTTTACAAGCTTCTGTAGGTAGCCTTCATGGTACATATAAAGCAATCAGTCAACATAATCAGGAATCTCCTAAACTACTGTATAGACAGACTGAATGAGAAATCAGTGCACTTTTGTAAGACTATACAAATCTTGCCCAAACCTCTACGTTTTAACGTTCCTACACACTTCCCTATTTTAATTTATTTACGTCATTACTGCCTAGTGATTAGTAGTAACAGTGATGACAAAAGGGCTATGACTCAAATTATTACTTATTACGACTTTCCACTTCAGTAGACGGATGTGAAAACAGTCTTCTGGTATCATAGTCTGGCCATAAGTCATTCTGCACAGTGACGGTTAAACATTAAACTGAAGAAACAATATGTTTTTGTTGTATTGTTTAAGGTCTGGTTCTAGTTCTGCTTTAACCAAACACCGTAAACATACACAGTTGCTTTAAGGTTAAAAATAGAATCGGGTTTACAAATACAAACAAACAAGGATTCACTTCTCATTCTTAAGTCTTAGCATTGATCACAACATGATCTCACTGTCAACACCTGAAAACTGACAACTGTGACCTCCCAAATACTACAGCTGTTCCCAATGTTGAAACCCACAGATATTAAAACTTACAGTACTAACTCTCACACATAAATAACACAGATGAGGAATAAGTCTCTGATTAGAAATATAATATATCAATACATTTAGTTCAAGTATACTAGAAGAAGATTTAACTGCACTCATACTTTTCTGTCGCTACTGTGTCAGTGATGGACTGTATGTAGACATAAAGACATAAGAAACTGAAAAAAAGGAAGGAAAGACATGAAACAACAGAAAATAATTGAATAAAAACTATGAATTATATACAATTTTCATTACATTTGGAGTGGGGACTTTCCAGGGAAATAAATAATGGTTAAACAGTGGTGGGTTTGGAGGAGAGATTTTTCTAGAGGTTTGTGAAGCTGTAAGAAGATTTCCCATGTGACTTTCAAAGCTATGTCTGTGCATGTTTTAACAATGGCATGTAGAGACATAGATTTTGTCAGAGAGAGAATAAATGAAACAAGCTGCTCAATTGGTTCGGCTCACAGTGAAAAAAGAAATCTTAGGTGATTTTCAGATATGCTGTATTTATTTGTAATTTCTTTTGCATGTATGCATGAGATAGTATGTCTGAGTGCCAAATGCTAAATCGAATTGTACAGATCCAATTGAAGAAAAAAAACATCAATTTAGAAAAAGAATATGATTATATAAAAAAAGATATAATCAGATACATAATCAGATTAAAGACAAAGACACTCTAGTTTCCACAGTTTCACTTTGAGAAGTTCAGATATTGTACTGTATGGAAACCTGTTAAAAATAGCTATTAGTAGTACTGATTTTACTGTAGCAATTTTCTCTGCAGTTGAGACCAGGAAAAAACAGAGGCTACCAAATATTATTTGCTTCTCTGGTTGAACACTCAAATAAACATCACAGCCACGCACTCAGAAATGATACATTCGAACACGAATAAAGACATTAGCTCTAATGTGTATTAGGAGCTCAGTTTCCACAGCAATTAGTCTGACTGATCTGATAAGACCAGACAGGACCTGTTCTAACAGCTTTCACGTTTAACAACCAAATTGAGACTTTCACTTTACCATGTGTTTACTGTTGTGTTTTACCATATGTTAAAATGAACACATTTTAAAGAAACAGAATTAAAATCTAAACGTACCCTTTAGAAACAAGCTTCTCCTGCATGTTTAAAGACGTGGCTGAGAAGAGATTGATTTCACAACTAACAGCTAGCAGCACGCTAACAGACAGACAGCGGCAAATAATGAGGATGTTTATGGGGATATCTAACTGTCAGACTGCACTGTGGTTTGTGACGCTGTGTGTGGGAAACACACACCAGGCCTCCTCCTGACAGACACACAGTACTGTGATTCATGTGAATGCCTGTGTTGGATATTATTTACAACAAGATTTAGCTGATTTTGTCTGAAGTGGTGGCAGAATCAGCATGACTTAACATGCAGTTTGATTTGCCTGTTGTTATTGCAACACCATCACATTCATGCCAACACTCTTTTCTGTCAACACCCTGTCCTGTTCACTCTCTCCCTTTTGCAGATTTCAATATTTGCGTTTACTCTTCACTCTACTGCTCTTTCTACTATTACCTTGAACACTTGAAACATTTCCTGCATTGACAGACACAACATAAACTTGAATAAATGCATTCAGTCAGCCATGTTCTACTTACTGCATTGAAAATACCAGTTAATGAATTGGAGATTGATTACATGTTCCAGTTTTCTGTTTAGAATGCAGGTGTGGTTTACATGTTAAGCACTTCTGCAGGGAGTTTTTGTATCTTGCTGTGTTCCTCCCACTTTTTATCTGCACAGCTGAGATATAAATATGCATCTGTGACATCATCTGAATGATGTGGATATTCTGAGAAGTGTTCCAGCATTACTGAAAAGAAAATGTGGTCAGCATACATTTCCTTGGAAAATACCTGATAAATATACTGATTCATGTAGGGGAAAAATTATTTATTACTAGCGTTGATTGTTAGATATAGAATAGAGTAGTTATAGTTACACCCAAATGTTATCTCTGACTGCATTCCATGGCCCGCTCTCGGAGGGAGCAATGTACCTATAGAGGGTGGGTTAAACGAACTAGGAGAGACCCTTATCTCAGTTATCCAGAACAACTGTTTGCTTCTTTAAAAGTGATGAACAGTTCAGTTCTAGTCAGCCTGAGCCAGAGACATCTCTGACTCGTTTGATCAAACTATTGCTGTGACTTTGTTTGACTCCATTTGCTTGTTCTTTGCCTGTTTTACACTTGCTTGAGTGATTCAAATAAACATCAAAACCTTACAAGGCGTTCTCCTTTGAAGCTTTCTCACCAAACAGTTTACAGATTTCCACCACAATTCATTTTAAATGCAATGAACTACAGGTTCTTCGCTAACACTGAGTGTGGATCATGAGTGACTGACTAAAGCTACATGTTATGAAATCTGCCTCTAAGTTTTCAACTCCCATACTATCTCCATGTATCAAGGGTTTTGTTTTTAATGTGATTATCGTCTTCTCTGCCAGTGGCTACTTTCTTCTCTGCATGTCTCTGCTAGCATGCTAACATGCTAAACTAAGATAGTGAACATGATAAACAATGTATCTGCTTAGCACCACCATGTGAGCATTGCTCATTGTGAGCATTTGACCATGCTGGTGCTGCTGCAGTTGCTGTAGATTACCAAAAAGCACAGCTGTACCTGTAGTTCCCTCCTGTGCAACAATGAGTGCAATGTTTTCTCTGTGGCTGAATCTGTCCCAAATATAGCATGACTGTCAGAAGCCACCTCCACATCTAGACCAATTCTGGCAAACACTTAGAAAATCGTCTGGCTGTCAGCCAATACCAGATGATAACAGCCAGAATCTGCCCAGATGTGGAAGTATATGGGCCAAACTTGGGTCGAGGATGCAGGCATATGTAGAGGTTTTGCTACAGTGCATTTGGAAAGTGCTCAGAGCCCTTCACATTTTTCACATTTTGTTGTTGCAGTGTTATGCAAAAAACAAAATAAAATAAATAAAAATCTTTTTTTCCCTCACCAGCCCCCTACCCCATAATGACAAAGAAAATTTTATTTTTTTTGTAAATTTATTAAAAAGGAAAAAGTGAAATATCCAATTGACAGAAGTATTCAGACCCTTCACTATGATACTTGAAATTTAGCTCAGGTGCGTCCCATTTCTCTTGATCATCTTTGAGATGTTTCAACACCATGATTAGAGTCCACCTGTGGTCATTTCAACTAATTGGGCATTATTTGGAAAGGCACACACCTGTCACAGCTGACAATGCATATCAGAGCAAACCAAACCACAGGGCAGGGAAACTGCCTGGAGCTCAGAGTCATGGATTATGTTGAGCCACAATTCTGCTGCATTGATGGTTCCCAAGAGTACAATGGCCTCCATAATTATTCAGTGGAAGAAGTGTGGAACAACCAGGACTCTTCCTTGATCTGGCTGCCCAGGCCAAACTGAGCAATAAGGGAAGAAGGGAAGAGTAAAGAAAGACATGTGACCAGGAACCTGATGGTCATTGTGGCTGAGCTCCAGAGATCCTGTGTGGAGTTGGGAGAAACTTCCAGAGGGACATCCATCCCTGCAGTACTCCATCGATCTGGGCTTTATGGCAGAGTGGACAGACAGAAGTCTCTCCTTGGACAAAGACACACAATAGCTGTTTGAAGTTTGCAAAAGAGCAGCTAACAGACTCTCAGACTGTGTACAGGAAGATACACTTCACAGAAACAAGATTCTGTGGTCTGATGAAATCAAGATTAAACTGTTTGGTTTACCTTGCCTTATTGTAGCCTTTTGGATTAGTCTGCCTGCTCCTGATTGACTGCCTGTCAATATCGATTGTCGATTGGTCAGTTGTCTGCCAATTGGGTCTAGACCAAAACACCCCAAATGTTGGATGGATCTCCAAGAAATGTGCATAGACATTCATATAATCTCATGTGAAACGTTTTCCTGTAGTACCACCATGAGGTTGACATTTTTTACTTTAACTGTATCTCAACAACTCTTAGATGGATTGCCATGAGATTTGTACAGACATTGATGGTCCCCAGACCTAAGGGCTATTGATGAGTGCAATGTTTTACCTGTGCAGTGTTTAGCTTGTTGTCCTCATTTATTTTAAAATATGTACATATTGTGTACATTTCAGTGCTATTTCAGGCCAGAAATACCACACCCACTGGTGCAAAGCTGTTTCTTGTGTAACACATAATTGCTCATTGAATAGATTTGAATTGGAACTCATTTCTATGGAACCACATACTTACAGTAACTTTGTTGCCATCATGTTTTTAATTGATTGGAAAGACATAATGTTTCATTTAACTCATTAATTGTGATACAGCACAGGGGGTTATGAGGTTAACATATTCCTCTGTGGGATATAGCAAGGTCATAACTGTATATGGTATGCAATGAATTAACTCCATAACAACTTAAAAACTGGTAAAATATTTCAGAAATAACATTTTTAAATGTTTTTGTCTTACCCTTAGCTCAACTAATAACAAAGAAGCAATTAAGGTTTTGCAAAATATGTTTTTGCATTAACACCACATGTAACATTGCAGCTTTTGGCAGTCCCAGCTCGACACAGTTCAAATCCTATTCGACTCACTGTACCTCAGTTCAGTTCAGCTCAGATTAGCCCAGCAAAGTGTAAAACTGGTTTTATTGCGTGAGAGCCAAAGTTTTGTTTCCCCCAATCTGAACAGAAAGTTTAACAAAACCATCAATATGAGCAGGGCAATTATTAAGAAATCTAAATGACTGTGGGAGAAGAGGAAGTAGTGAGGACTAAATGGTGTGAGTGTGTGTAGTAGCTGGGCACAAGAGGAAGATGACAGGTGAAATTATAAGAAAAAGTCTTGCGAATGAAAACAGAGAAGGGGAAAGTGGGAAGGAAGTAGAAGAAAGAAGGCATAACAGCTGAATGTGTCAGATGACAGTTATTCAAAGTGTATAAAACAACTCATATACTTTTTATTTGCTCTCAGTTAAATTATTTCAACCAATATATCCAAAGAATAGTCAAAGAAATGAGCAGAAATCAAAAGACAACCACTATACTGTATATTGCCATCGAATATAACAACTCAAATAATTAATTATTGTATCAAACAATCTCAAATATCCAGAATTCATTGGTTCTAATAAGACAATGACAGTACCGTTGTGTAAATTCAAAACATTATTCACTTTGCTTAAATATTATGTTAATAATCTTGTTTTTTTTTTTTAAAGCTCACAAAGAAGAATGTGGTCTGTTTCAGCTTGGAGTCCGGCTTTTTCTGCAGTGAAGCCCCCTTTGGCTGACTGGTAGTGGTCTCGATTCCAGAGTGATGGGTTTAAAACATCAGTCTGTTAGCAGTGTTGTACTGCCATCCATCTATCCATCCATCCATCCATCCATCCATCCATCCATCCATCCATCCATCCAGCGACAAAAAGATGAAAAGAATGAAAGCAAAAAGCGGCTCTGGGTCACACTTTGGGTCACACACTTAATGTGGGTGTTTAACAGAAAATGTAGGGAACAAATCACTGTCATGTATAGGTCTATGCATAAGTTATGGAAGCTGTACAGAGATTATTATAACAAACAAATATTAAAAAACAAAGCCTGGTAAAAATTCTCACCAAACTTCTAAAAGGATAAACTTTTTAATGAAACAACACAAAATAAATAATAAACATGTTTTTGGAGGGACACCTCCTTTTTTCCCTTTATCAGTTTTTATCAATACTTCATGGCTGGACAGAAAACAAATATACCGTATCAACATAAGACGTTTATTCTCCTCCGTATGAAAAGAGGCTGCGACAAATGACTGTGTCATTTACTCTTTTATCTATGTTTATTTGATTATTTTTTTTATCTAAATGGGTGGTCATGCAAATAGAAAAAGCCAAGTCCTTTATGCTTTTAGCTCGGTGGTAAAAGTTGGTAGTTCACCTCTTTGCCACTTCGCCTCTTGACGAGTTGACTGGTTGCTGTTAACTGGGTTACAAGGTGATGAGCTGGCTGGTTTTCTTCCTCCTAGCTCAAGAAGTAACTAGCCTTTTAGTCAACTAGTTTACACAACTAGCTAGCTTCCACTGACTCCAGCTAGCTGTGTTTTCTCAGTAAAATGAGTTTTAGCCATTGCTTTATGCATCACTTCTTATTATCTTGCTGGAATTTCTTCCAGTCAACCATCTCAGAAAGTCAACCATTTCAGCTTCTGCAAGCCAAACCAGGTAGCTAGGTAGCTAGCTAGCTAGCCAGCCAGGAGTTGCATTTCAAGAGGTTGACTTGTTGTTTTAAGGTGGACTGGTATTCCAAAATCATTGCTTGAAATCTGCCTTGTTTACTGACAAACCACCTAGTCAACAGGTAGATGGATATTCGGAGAACTCACCTAGGTAGGAGATTGACTGGCATTCACGCTACTTTTTGCTTTTCAGTAGACCGATATTTCCGAGTAGTTAAGCAGGTGACAAATCAACTGGTTTTCACAGCTGGTGTGCGAGTTGTCCGTGATTACGAGATACTTGCGTTTATTGTGCTCCGAGGTCCAATGTGGTAGCTTGCTCGACAAACAGGTCTATTGTCTGTGGATACTTAATTGTCACTTAAGTATCCTGGACCTTTTCAGTTCATTATATCCATATGTCCATATCTGTCTATAAACTCTCTCCAGTCAAATTCATTTGACCAGTCACGTTGTATAATAGCATTCCTTAAAATGGTCACGGCTACACAGTTTATCAGTCTGTAACTAGTTGGAAAGTCCAAATGCAGTGAGTCAATCAGTTTTATAATCTGAATCCATCTGTTTGTAAGAAATCTGCAGCCATTACAAATGTGAATCTTAGACTTAGGCAGTCTTTAAGAAGTCTGTTGCTCACAGCATGGGATGAAATGGCTCAAAACGAGTCCACAACAAGTCTCTCCTGACACCAAGTCTGTACACAGTCCAAAAACCCAATGAAAACCAGTTGACCAACCAGTCTACCTCACATCCAAAGCCAGTGAAAAAGCAGTCTGTAAACCGGTCTGTATCTAGTACCAGTTGAGCACATCTACCAGATGTCAGAGCTTAGTTCTCTGCTGGTAAGCGGTACGAAGGTGCTGTTCAGGTGGAGTTCTGGCTTCTTCCCAAGCGTACTGCTCTGAGGAACCTGGGAAACACACAGCACAACAGTGATGAGCAGGAATCTCCCCCAGAGCACAAGTCTTAGAAAAGATCTACAGTTCAAAAGAGAAAAAACAGGTGCTGCATTTTACATTATATACAGTACTATTGCATGCCAGTAGTGCACCATGCCTCATATATGACAACTATACTTCTATATGACAACTACTTCCCAGTCTGTTAGAATAAATAAATATTTGATGTCGGATAATATGAAGATACTATTTTCTGTCTACATTTTCTTTTATCCAAACAGACCTCTTGTTCCCCAGTGAACTGCTCTGAACCCCTGGGGAGAAAAGAGGGGTTCCATTTTTAATGTGTTTAAACTCTGAGTACATGCACACAAACAACAGAAAAGGATGCACTGTTGGATGCTTGAAACCAACTAAAACAACAAAAACATACGGTAAGTGGCACTGTCTTTTCTCCCACCTGTCCATTCAGCAGTGTCATGGGGATGTTACAATAGACATGGCGCCCCCCTGGGCCCAGAGTGGAGAACTGCACTGTGGAGGGAGGTGGGAGAGGAGGCGACAGGGAGGAAGGTTGTGGGGGAAGCTGGAACTCGTAGCTGCGGCAGAAATGCCTCATTTGGGCAGCTGTAGCCGTGTGTCCCCCTCCCAGTGGCAAGGTCATCTGGTTGTAGTCCGGGATCTCTGTTGCCAAGGCAACCTGTGGTGGAAAAACATGACTTTCTGTTAACTTTTTATCACCAACAATATCATTCAAGGAGGAAATTAAACCTTACACATCAGTTGTTTTAATTGTCCGTCTATAACTGTGAAACTCCAATTCATAAAGGGTTCAAAATAAAGGAGGCTGAAACTTCACCTCTTTTGTAGAAAGGGCTTAAAGTAGGAGAAAACAGTCTTGTCTTTGGACTAAGATAATTAGGCGAACTATAATTTTGACCACCAGAGACAAACTCCGTAGTCCGATTTGGGTTTTTAGATGTAGTTTCAGACAGTGGTGGAAATTCACCACAGCAGCTGTAGCCGCACTAAGACCCATGGTCAAATAGTGCTTGTATGTGGACCCATTGCAACATCACATGTGCAGCCTGCCCTCTCTTAAAATTATACGGACGGTGTACAAAGCACTTTTAAATGAACTAACTCATGTGTATCATTGTTTGCATTACATTTTAAATGAATGCCATTATCCTATACAATTCCATTAAATTTTCTTCTTATTTTGGGACATCGAGTAAATTAATAGGTTATTTTGGTTACCTTCTTACCGTGGTGGGGGTGTTTTCCTGTTACCTTTGTTGCGTGAAACAACTCTGTGCTTAACTGACATGTTTTGTGAAACTAATTTATTAACCATCTATTTGGCTTTGTAGAACTCTATACAATTCTTATAATATTCCAGTAGTAGTAACAGTGTTTCCAGAACAGTTAGAATTTTAATTACTTTTGATTATTAGCTGTTTTTTTTTTAAATGTATTTACTACCCTACCTACTAATACCTATCTACTACCATAAAAACTTGTGACAGTCTGTTTTGAACCTTGATCACAGCTACAGGCCATTGTCAGGGTGGAAGGACATGTAAAATATTGTCCATCATGGTTTCAAAAACACTAAGTTTGTAAGCAGTAACATTACTGTGAAATAAAACAGCTGACCTGATGATGCCCATGGCGACTCTCATTAGGGGGTGCCAGAGAGGCAGAGGTGGTTGTCATGGCAATGGTGGAGACGGTGGTCTGTAGGTCACCAAAGAGGCCCTGTTCACCGGAGTCCATTACCTATTACCACAGAAACACGATTACATAGTTTTCATTGTGCAGATTTGAGCAGTCAAGAAGATTTTATCCCAATTTTGAAATGACCATTGTGGCAGGAAAGGTACTGAGATACATTGGTTATCTGAAAAGATAAGACTTGCGATACTTTATGTTCTTCTTATTAACAACAAATCCCATGAAAAGACTAAAGCCTTCATATATCTTCATCCTCTGTGTCATGGAGCTCCAGAAATGATTAAAAACAGTGTGCCACACTGTTGTGCTGGGTCACATGTTCCTTCATTTCAATTAACATCGACACTGTAGTTTACTTTTTAGACAATATCTCATACATTGTCCTACGGCTGTAAATACTCCCAAACAAAAACACAAGGTTTTGTTTTATTGTACAATCATGTATAGTAGTTATTAAAACAGTTGCCACATCTTAAAGCCATTGGTTTCGAATACGTAAAGAGGGTGAAATCATAGCCTGGTTTGTGTCCTTTGGTCTGAACTATTTTGCTAAACTTCACATAGTTGCATTTATGTATTTGGTTCATGTAGACTGACACTGTGCATTATCCAAGCAAACAGGTAAACAAAAGTCATAGGGATTCAGGCAGTCCACAAAATGTCATCCTACAAGGTCGGAAACATTTGGCGACAGTGAGGGGTCAAAACGCACCTGATTGCCATTCATTGTGTGTTGCTGAGCATGATGGATCGCCTGAATTCTTCGGTGCTCTTGTACAATTTTTCAAGAGGTTAGGAAGTGTGTTCCTTGGCCCATAAATTGAAGAGGCACCTCACCTCTTCTTGGCTTCATTGTGTTATATCAGGCTTTCCAAGCATGAATAACAGCAGACTATCGGATGTCATTGTGTATTCACTTAAACTCACAAGGCCCTGGAATTTAAAGTTGTTTTATGTAAGTTTTTTTGGGCACTGTGTGAGTTTGAATGGCACCATTCTCAAATGGCCTAATGAAGCAAAGCAAAATAGTTCACATTCCAAAGTTTAACTCGGTTTTGTACATAAAGATTAAAATGATGCTGCAAATGTAAAAAATAAATAAATAAATCAATCACACAATTGGTGTTAACAAGCAGGATAAGAGCACATGTACAGTGTCTGAATGTGATAAATACTCTTATTATCATTGTCCCAGTTCTACGACATCATATGTTAAGGTGCCATATTAAGATCCTTTCTGTTACAGTCCTATGCTTCACTCTGTGTTTGTTTCTTGATGATTATTTTCCATGTAGCGAGCAGCGAGAGAACATCTCTTTGCTAATCAGGGCATACACCACCTGAGGTGTTAACACATGGTAAACATGTGCACATTTTCCCCTATTGTGATTCCAATTTTAATACATTACCTGTGTTTAGCGGGCATTTCAAAGGCCATCTGTTTGTTGTGGATGTATGCTGCCCAGGGGAGCATAAGTAAATATGCTAAATTTCCACAGTATTTTTCCTCGGCTCCTGGACACGCCATGAAGACAGTGTTATTCTGCCAATTGCACCTGTAGCTATACATATGCATGGTCTGTGAGTAGAAGGTAAAGGCTTTCAGTACATTATTTCTTAGGATGTGCAAATTCATCTGTTTTTCAAAGCTATTTTATTCTTACAGTCACAGTTAGGTTTAGCAAAAAAAATAAAAGTGGCCCTTGCACTTTTCCACTGTAGGATTTCTTTTGGTAGTTTAAGTTTAGTATTTTTCTCATACAAACAGTGCCACTGTGTAGATGATTGTGAAAGACTGTAAAACATGATTTCAGATTTCTGTTAATGGCAGTATACCTGGCGTCTGGACAATGTCTCTCTGCGTTTAGCAGGCATTTCGTAGACCACCTGTTTCCAAAACTTAGAGGACAGCTCATTGCTTTTAGGACCCCTCCACTTGATGATGGATAAAACCTGGAGAGAAGAAAAGAGAGGTGAAAAGATTTCTTTTTTTATTCTCTAATTGTTTTATTCTGCTGGTGTTTGATCAGATCACCTTCCTCTCTCCCTCCATTCATCCCTCTCTCTGCATACCTTGATCGTATGTTTCAGTGCTTCAACCTCTTGGTAGTTGATGACATTCTTCAGGTCGGCACACTCTATCATGATCACCTGGACACACAGAAAGGCAGGTGCAGAAGTGTTTGGGAAGAGAGGAATATGACAATCTCTGAGCAGAGCAATTCTCTTTATTGCTCAAAGCCAGGAAAAGCTGATGTCACACATTTCCTCATCTTTTAGACTGACTTCCTGTTTCCTTTGTGATTCATACCTTGATCTCCCCGGTGACCAACATAGAATGGAGGCGTGTCTCTATCTGGAAGATACTCCACCCTCTTTTGGCGACAAACTCTGGGGTCAAAACGATGATGAGACGTCTGCTCTGCTCCACGCTGCGAGCCAAGTCCTCGATATAGGCTGGGAGAGAGAGACATGGAGACAAAGTGTAAGTGACAGAGTGAAAAGAGAGAGTTAGAGAAGGATGTCAATTAGAGTGAAGTGAAGAACAAAATGTGGTTGGTGTCTTGCAATTTACTAGTTAGAAATATAAAAGAAAATAAACTGTTCCAGCCAGAATCTATGGTATAAGTGAATGTGTTAGCATCATTTTCAGTAATACTCTTTTCTATACTTACAATAGTGTATAGGGCAGAACTGTAAACATCACTGTGGTTAGATAAAACAGGACTGATACAAAAAAAAGTAACCAGCCAAGGGTCTTCAGCTACAGCGCAACTCACAGTAGGCCGGTCTTAACACTCTGCTCATGACTGGGTTGATGTCGAAATATAGCAATATTTAATCATCAAACCTAATTCGTAGATGTAGTATCATTAGCTGTATAGCCATAGTGTATAGCCATAACATATCCTCTCCCACCATTGCCAACTCATCACACTGCTCATTTCATTATTATTTTCATCTTTATGATTATTACACCTTGCATTTACTCTGTAGATAGTAGTTTAGTTAATAAACTCCTTTATTTACACCCAGTTGTTGTCCTGCTGTATTCTTTTGACGTAGAGACTGGAGATCCATTGAATCAAGAAGTCATGGCTTCCGATATGAGATTGATAAATTTGGCAATGAAATAATTCATTGTTGTCCTCCCAGAGGACTGGTGCCCCATTTCAACGAGAGTAAATTCTAAAATATGGCGTTAACGCTACACTAGCTAAGCACCGGAGCTAAAGGGGGGAAAAGCTAGCATGGCTTTATTCAAACTAAAAAAAAACAAGTAACACCCTGAGTCACATATCTTTAACTTGTACATAAATTGTGGTTATCTTTTTCATGAATTACGTGCTTCAACTATTTCCTGCGACTACAGCTGTGTGCAGTGGACTGAATAGGCATGAAGTGTTTTCACACAGGTGCTTAGTTTTTTTTTTATCTCATGTAAATTAGGCAACTTTGGACAGAGCCAAGCAAGCTCACTGGTTCTCCCTGCCTCCTGTTTTTATAGCCTAAACACATCTTGACTTTTAAGCTCTTTATTTAATGCGCAGATCTGAGGTTGATATCTTATCATGTTCAAGTATCAGGTCTCATGTTATTGTTTCTAAAAAATCCTCCTGTGCAACTCTCTGTCACACCTCTTTCCAAAATGCTCTAAAATACACAAAAAGCAATAAACACATTTAACAAACAGCTAAAAAAAAAAGCTTTGTGGTCCTTCGTGGGACTAGCTCAATGTTTTGGGAAATATGCTTAATCATGTTCATTTGTTCAGTAGTTTAGGCTATTTTTAACTTTGGGGAGAGTCAGTAACCTCTCGAAGCAGCTGGATTTCTCATAAGCCAGAATCCATCTTGCCAATATCCAAGATATTTGCTAGTTGTCAAACCACAGTTGTTCTGGCCAATCAGCATCCTGTGAGGGAGGAGCTACTGGCAGCTACAGATGTCTTAGGTGAAAGAGGTTAGTGTACAAGCTACTACAGCATCAGTTATATCAGAACTGGAGAGTATTTCAAAGAGCTGAGAGGCTGAAGGCTTTTCCTTTTTCTCACAAATGGCTTCAGTAAGAGTATGATTTCCAAACTGGATCCGGTGGTAGTGAAAAAAATGGGAAGGATGCAGAATCTGATTGGTTGACGCTAGCCTGTTATACACGCTGATAGATAGACCGTTCATCCTATCACCTGTCAAGTACTTTTTGGGAACGCCTGTTGTTTTCCAAACAGTTTCTAACCGTAGACTGTATGTAAAGATGGATGTAGCCTCTGTGATGTTACCTATAGGTTTCTGAAGAACAGTTTTGAAGCTCAGAGTGGGCTTCCTCGCCGTCGCCATCTTGGCAGTACCTGACTCTGCCTAACTCCCAGCTAATCCAAAAGTGGGCAAAGAGGTGGGGCTTGTGGTGAGTTGAGACTTTGGTACATGCCAGTTTGTGGCAAGCATATGCTCCCCCACCTGTCACTCAAAGCTGCCACGCCCTCAATTATGCAGATCTTTAAGGCTTAATATATGTAAACAGGTGAGTTATATAAAAATTCACCCCCCCGTACAGTAGTTATAAAATTAGCTATAGAGACCAAAACTGTTTTTTGTACCAGGCTGTAAACATGTTTATTTCTGCTGTAAAGTTGGGCATTTTAACATGGGTCTATGGGGAATGACTCATGTTTGGAGCCAGACTCAAGTGGGCATTCAAGGAACTACAGTTTTTGGCACTTTAGTGTTGGCTTCATTTTTCAGCCCTGGAAGTTGTCTCCTGTTTCCAACGAAGCCTTGCCACATGGTTCTGAGTAGCAAACCATCTTGTATGTCAGGTTAGAGAGGAGAGTCAGGCTAGCTGTTTCTACCTACTTCTAGTCTTTATGCTAAGCTAACCACCTCCTTCACTTGTTTCATACTTAATATACAGATATGAGAGTGGTAACAGTCTTCTCATCTAGCTCTTGGATAGAAAGCAAATATGTGTATTTTCTAAGTATATTGAACTGTTCCTGTAATGGTCATGTATTTGTGCAAATGACAATTATGAGAGATTTTTGAGAGGTTTTATTTATAGTATAGAAAAGCTACAACAGCTTCAAAAAGAAGAGGCAGGAAAAAAAATGCATCTAATATTAGAGTATGTAAGGTAAACCTCCTTATATAGTATCTGCCCTCCTCTTGCTGGCTGCAGCCTTCAAGTCATCTTGTTCATAAAATGACAGGAAAGACTGACAGGAGTATACAGTGGAGTGACAGAAATGCTGGTGCAAGGTTTTTGGCTCTGACACAGCACAGCGGAGTCGGTTCTTAAATGGGGATCAGACTTGTGCTGATACACCACCATCAGCTTTTACTTATATCTCAGAGAGGAAATGTGAACTTGAAGAGGGGGATGGGCAGGTGATGTAATGTGAAAAGTGAACAAATCTGAGGTGGAGCCACTTTATGTGTCAATATAAATATGAGTCAATATAGAGCTCAATGCAATACTTGCAGAAGTCTTTAAATGCTCTTTTTTTACCCTCACTGAGGTGCCATTGTTTGGTGCCAGGCCCAGTGTTAACTTATTTTCCCAAAATGTTCCATTTCTAATTATTTATTTGTGACATTCTCAGTGTTTTCTGCAACATGTATAACTGAAAGTGCTCATTATTTCTTAAATTTGCTCTGTGAACAACGGATTCCCTCCCTCTGTGTGTCTCTTTCCTTCACCATCTCTTCACTTGCTAACTAAATTAATGACAGACTCTCCAACAACACATTGCAATTTCACGCTCAATTTGAGAGGCACAAATAGTACAGAACATCCCAAAATTCAGTCCCTTTCTCTCTCTTCTATGGGTTGCCTTTGCTTTCCTCTCTTTATCTGTCCCCCTCTTCTCTCCTCACAACTAACCTCCCCTCCTCCCTCCTGCTCCCCACTTCCCCTTCCCGCTCTCTGTTTCTGAGGATTATGTAAATCAATTAATAAAATAACACAAACCAATGACCCCGTCCCCACCTCTTTCTCTTCCCGTTGTTTATTTCCTGCTCTCTTGTTCATTTCGGAGGGCTAATGGAGTGGATAATTGAATGGCGTATTTTAGGTCGCATCGCCATGTTGCTCTGTCAATGGCTTTGGTAAGCAATGAAAAGGCACCTCGCTCTGTCTCCGTGATTCTCTCAGTGAGTCTGCTCTCCACACTATGTAACCTTTAGTTCATATGCAGCTTAGACAGAGTTATGTGTGCAGGTATGCTCAGTGGACATTTGTCTTTGGGATGTTTTCGGGGCACAGAGAGGAACCCTCAATTTGGGAGGAAATGTGACTTTTTCATCTGCTGTCAGGATGTGATGTTGTGTGTGTGGGAGCTGAGGCATAATTTTGGCCAACGGCAGTGTATGTAAGGCATGCTGATTCATTATGAACCATATTTAAGTAAATTTATTTATGTATTTTAGCAGAAAATGTTAAATAATGCAGAAAACACACATTAGTTTGTTATTTTCTAGCCATGTTATAAAGTTATTTTAGCAACTACCTTCTTTTCAGAAGTTTTTAGGACAAGTTGAAAAACATCATGTTGACAAAATGTTGATACACAGGGGATAATGGCTTGGTATTTCATTTGTTGCATTACTTTGATATTTCAGTGGAATTAACCAGGGACCTCACAGACTATTGATGTGTTTTATAATGTTTTTTAAAGAACTGAGCAGGTACAGTATATTACCTCAGTTCCCTGAAGCACATAGCCACTTTACCTAATAAATAGTATCATAAATAGCATTTGTAACCAATACCATTTCAACAAATGGTGGATATACAGTATCTGTAAAGTCCAGATGAAAAATAAACTTAATTGTTAATATCTCAGATGATATCAATCAGATTTTGGTGGAACATCAGGAAATGATCTGTGCCACTCCATCCAAAACTAGACTGTTTGGCTTAAAGTTATAATATGTAACTTTTCCCAATTAGAATGTCTAAAAATTTGATCTTTTTGGAGTTCTTCACTTACATTATCCCAAATGTTTCCAGCAATTTTCAAACCAGAGAAATCTGTGATTTTAATCATTGTAACGGTCCGTGCTATTTGGTCGCCGGCCAATGACATCGTATCCCCTATGTGCATGCGTTGGTGTTGTGGTTGCCTGCTAGAAGCTAAAACTGACTTTTATCCAGTTTTAAGTCACACACATTTTATATACCTTGGTCGTTTTCTACTATATATTTTGACTGGATGAAGGATTTTAGTTATCGGACGTCAGGATCTTAAGTTATCAGAGAAAAAAGCCAGGCAAATGTGAGGCAGCTCAGCTCCCAGCCGCTCATGTGTCTCCTGAATTACGTAGGTGCATCACAGATTTTTAAAGTCAAATGGCTTTATTTGTTTTTCTACTGGTGTTAATTCCCTTCCATTTGTTTTGGAGAGGAGGACACCTCTGTGGATAATTCAGCTGCCGGTAAAAACATCCTGAATGCCTGGTTCATAAGTTATCAGAGAAACAATCAAAACAAAGGTTAGCAGCACCCTTAGCTCCCAGACCCTCTCTGAGGTCCCATGTCTGCCGTACAGCATTGGCGAAGCACTGACTTTAAATGTGAAACTGCTTTATTCAGTGTTTTTACTGGTTAAAATCACCTGGACTGTTTGTTTTGGAGAGGAAGAGACGACTGTGGATAATCTTTTGTTATTGTTGTGACTGAGAGACCCCTAGTGGTAGAAGTTACATACTGTGCATTTAATCAGGGCACCACTGCGTTTGGTAAATAGAGAGCTGAAGTCATTATGTCACTGGGCTAATGTCACTTCCATTTGCTCCTGTAACTGAAATTATTCTCTCTCATTGAACTGTTCTTTCATCGGCTTTTGTGAAAAAAAAGTTTGTTCCTCTGGATTTCTTTCCATATTCTATGTTGTGTGTTGACATTGAATGAGAGTGCAAGAATGTGTCTGGGAGAATCTTAAATGTGTGTGTGGGGGTGTTTATCACATAAACATCCCCACACACACTATGTTTCAAACTAAATCCTCCAGTCACTGTCCCTGCAGCTGGCAAGGCAGGAGATGAGCCCAACAATGATGGATGGATGTGTGTGTGTGTCCGCTGAGGATATTGACAAATCTGTATATTACATTGTATCTGCAGTTTTATTCCATATTTCTTCCACGTTTACAGCCCCACTGCCCTCAACACTGTCTTGAAATTTTTCATCATTAAACAATTTTGCAGCGTTCAGTGTACATATTGTGAGCATCTACATTTGCGATTTTTGAGCGTATGTGGATGGCAGCAGCAGCAAATAAATCCACACACTGTCCTCAAATTGTCAATTTGAGGATGGAGAAAAACAGACATGTTTTCAGACTGACCAGGAAGGACGACTTTTCAGACAAGTAATCTTTCACCCACGGTTCCAATAGTACTTTCATTAAAAATTATGTTATTAGTGTTAGTTAGATAATTGGGGGATAGATAGAAAGACAGATGGACGGTGTGTGCCTGCATGTGTATGGCTGTAAGAGTTATGGTTGTCCCCTTGTGTCTGTAGAACGGTGTGTCTATGTGCACCTGTTTTTGTGTGTGTGTTTGTGTGTGTGAGGTCAGAACATTCACAGACAAAGCAATAACTCCAGTTGGACAGAGAGTGACACATAACCCCAGAAATCATGGCAGACGGTGTGTGTGTGCTTGTGTGTGTGTGTGTGTGTGTGTGTGTGTGTGTGTGTGTGTGTGTGTGTGAGTGTGTGCTGTTTGCTCTCTATGTGTCCTGTACATTATGCGTGGACATCTCTGGGTGTTTAAGTGAGAGCTCGACATGAGCTAGGTTGAGAAAAACTATTTACTTGTTTGTTTCTTAAAAAAGTGAGAACATGAGTTTGTGAGACTCATTGCCTAAAGCAGAGTGACATTGTTGTGTTGTGTATCGGTGTGTGTATGTGGCTGGATGTGCACACGTTATGTGCAGCTGAGAGCACACACAGACATATGTGTGTCTGTTTGTGAGTGTGCTATGATGAAGATCCGCATTCATTCTTATTTATTCTGACAGAGTGATGAATTCTGGGTATTGGGGGCTACAGTGGCCCAGAGCTTGTGTGTGTGTGTGTGCGTGTGTGTGTGCGTGCGTGCACAGGTAAGGTAGATAGATATATAGATGGATACTTACTACTGCTGGGTATTAGATCTCTGTCTGGTATAAACAGCTTGTATCCGTAATGTTTCTCCAGAACATCTGGCAGGATCTCCAACGCAAACGTCTCCTCATCGCTGCTCGTCCTGCGAGAGGAGAGAACGACAAATATGGCTCCTGATTCAAAATCATCAGTTAATAACGGGCGGAAATGAAATGAAAGTGTTAATATGAAAGTATGGGTGCACATGAGGTGACATCATTAAGCCTGATGTGATTCGCCGTTTTTGTTACTGTGACAATGCTTCACGAACAACAAAGATGACTTTTACTGTGAAGCAGCTGTGGGAAGTAATTAGTTACAGTTAGCATGGTTAGCTTAGCTTAGTTTAGTTTGGTTTTTGGGAAAGACACTTATTGACTTCCTTTTCCAGAGTGAGATTAAGATTGATAGCAGGTTTTCCTCATTCAGTTTGGAGCTGCAGCCAGGATGTGGTTCATTTAGAGGTGATGGGAGGCAGATTTTGTCACCAGGCAAGCCATTTACTTTATGCAAAGTCATGACTCGGGCTCTGCGCTTCATACGCGGACATGGCCGTGGTATCAGAAAGTCAACCACGACATTTACTAAAAGCTGTAGCTTTTCCTTAAAGAAATTGAGGTTGTTACATATTAATACAACATTTACCACTTTTCTTTGCTAAGTCAGTTTTATGTCTGAGAACTGGGAGCAGGAAGTGCTCACTGCAAATATTCAACACACATGATCAAGCTGGGCAAGTTCTTCTTCTGTGCTAAAGTCCCTGATAGTTGCGAGCTTGAGAGTCAGTGTTGTTAAAATGAAAAACAACTTGGTTTAACATGTGTGTGTGCATGTGTGTACGTGTGTATGTGCACTGAGGTAGCTCACCTGCCCAGAGAGTCCAGGTCCACTTTAGTATAGGACAGGTAGGCATCGTACTCCTTATTATCTGTGAAGAGAGAGGCACGAGACAGAGTGAGACAACAGAAGTACAGGGGACGTCAGTTTAACAGATTTTAAGATCTTGCATCCCACATCTGATTATATTTACATTACAGAAAATACTTTTGCTGATCACCTTTAAAACCCAGTTAGACCTCTGACCTCCTCTCACATGTTTTATATGTTACATGTATTATAATATTACTGTATAGTTCCTTTTAAACAGTCATCAACACAGGATAAATGTTTGTCGTCTCGCTGTGAGCAGTTCATCAAAACCTGCTAACTTCCTGAATGAAGACACGTTTTGATCAGTTCTTCATCTGCTCTTTGTGAGACTAAAGAAAATCAGTGATTCATCTTCGGGGGGAGCCAGGGCTTGGTAATACCCTGTCAAGAAAATCAGGTGGACTTTAAGTTGAAATCAATACTTTCAGTTAATACAGCAACTTTACTTCTGTGTGAATTTATTTCTACTATCTTTTTCTATAGCTATAATGCATCTGCTTATATTGCTTTGCAAATGTAACTTTTCAAAGGGGCTTTAAAAAGAAAGATCATCATTACTCAGCCAACGATTACAAAATTACAAACCAAACAACTGAAAAAAACAAACATTTATTCACTTTGGTGCTTTTTTTTTCGTCAATTGCTTCCTTTGACTTCAGTGAAGACTTAATCAAGTGTAAATGTTGTGCTTTTTATCAACATGTTTAAACTTGCCAATGACTTTTCACTCAAAGACACATGCATTCATTTAGTGCCTGAATTGTGTGTGTGTCCCTAAGTGACACTGAGCACTCAGAGAGGCTTACCATCTTCAGTTTCATCACTCCCAAAGTGCCTCCTGTAGCAGAGCATGATCTCCAAGTTGTAGCACTTGTAAAGTGCCGTTAGGACTCCCAGAAGCAGCAATATGACCCCGAGACCACCAGCCAACTCCAGGCGATACATGTCTACAGGCAGAGAGAGACAGAAAGGCCACAATAAGAGGAAGAACTAATGGTAAAGTGAAAACAAAATAATCACCCACTTCCTCCAATAAGTCAAGGTTAGAAGACTGAATCATTGATGCTCAGTTTGCTTTGGATTCATTTTCGTCGTTGCTTTTCACAAACTGGTTTGCTCACGTCTAAGTAAACAAAGTGAATCTGCAATGATTTGACTTCAGGAAATTTAAAAAAGAAAAGTTGGATTACCTTCAAATTGGCAAATTTTCTAAATCGGTGACTAAAACTCATTTGCTCGCACAGACACACACACAGGCTGGCAGAAACACAAACACACACACACACACACACACACACACACACACACACACACACACACACACACACACACACACACACACACACAGGCAGAACTACTGAGATTGACTTTTCATTTGATGACTTTTCATTTGATGAATCGCAGCTGAATTTAGATGCTTTGCTAATAGTCTGCTGAATCTTCCTGCTAATAAAACACACTTACTTCAACTGACTCAATGACACACACACACACGTGAGACATGTTCACTTGACAACCAGCTGGCTGTCAAGAGCCAATCAATTAGGAGCTAATAATTAATGTTTGTTTGCTTCGTCTGCTCATGAAACAATTCTCTTTGGACTTGTCCTCGTTAACGAGAAGGTCGGGGGTGAAAGATTGGATGAATTCCACAGACATTTCATTGAAGCTCAATGACGCAGTATTTTGATGTCAACACTGACTGAAATGATTCTCTGTACTAGAAACGCCAGTTTAACTGTGTATTAATAAACCACTCTTTGGCCCTGAGCAGCTCCAGCAGCTCAGTCTTCGCTTTGATTCATCGACCCATCGAGTCAAAGTCAAACACTTAGCAGAGCCGAAGAGAGCCAGATGTTTCAGTGTAAAGCTGGCAGACCAAAACAAGAATGGATATCAGACAGGTGTCTGAACCGGCCAAGTTGCTCTGTACCTGCTCTAAGTAAAATAGGAACATGGTTTGCTAACTTGTCACTGTCCTAAATCAAGCTTTAAAGCAGGTCTATGCAACTTTTACTGAACTGGAGCCCCTGTGGCCACAAGTGACAACTGTGGGAGAAGTTAAAGAGTCTGAGTAGAGAAGAATTGTAAAGTCATTAAACTGAAACACTAAGGTTGGTCACACAGTAATATCTATATTTACTACTTACTTTATTAATATTAGCTAATGATTGTAGATTTCGGTCAGGTCAGACCAAGTGAGGTTGTAGCAGAAAAAACCTTTGAGTGTGCTAACTTAAGCATTTTGAATTGAGTGTATTTATTGCTTGTGAAATAAACATTTTTATTTGTAAGAGGAAGAATGTGTTTTTACTAATCTCACTTTAACAGTGTGGCTTTGCCACAAGTTACAGGTCATTATTTTCCTATGTATAAAGTACTCATGTACAGCTGTAGTCCCAGTGGCTTATCACTGAAATGTACAGTATATGGAAGCGCTCATTATAAAACATATTTGTCAAACCAACCAGTCAATCCTTATCCTTTAAGCCTTTTCTCGTGTATTTGTGAAACATAGTGAGTTGAAAACATGTCCAATAAAGTATAAGGGCTCTGGTGATTGCTAAAGAACTGTCTTTGAAAACCTCAGAGTATTTTCCCCAGTTGGTCACAAAAGGCAGCAAAGAGGCGTTACAGCTGCACTCAAAGGTTTGAGAAGCCACACAAAGGTAAGTTTTATTTTCTATTGGCAGAACAGGCTTTGGACAAACTTTGAGTCAAGGTTAAGGCTCTAAATAAGGATTAACTGATTGGTTTGACAAATGTGCATGATGCATGGCACAACACCTCTCAAACAGTGAATGACAGTCTCAAAATATGCTAGTAAAACTGCTAATTTTACAGTTTGCTGCCATGTTTTTGTTGGTTTGCTTGTGTGCAGAAATGTAAGTGAACTTGTGGTGTGTGTTGAAGGTTCCCTGTGGAGTGTTTGACTTCTGGTGGCGCTATGGAGCTGCTTTATGCTGAGTGGGTCCCTGTTATTGTTTATCTTGTGCAGGTGAACAAAGACACACATGCTCGTGCAGCCACACAGTGCACAGTCCTGGTCAACAGGGAGCGATGTGCTAACCAAGGCAGTGAAGAAGACGACTGTTAGCAGGTAAACACGGCTGTAAACAATGAAAAACAATGCAAAAATCTGTGTTTTACGAGGAAGGAAATACACTTGACAAGTTTGCCAGACCTCAAAGACGCACAAAATGCATTTTGGTGACTGACACTGAATATGAACAAAACTTTTTTTTTCATTTATAGGGAACCTCCACCTGACAGAAACAGAGGGAGCAGTGTTCTACTCAACTGAGAGAGTATAAGTTGCAAAACCCAGAAAGTGTTTTGCAACTTATACACTTGAGTGAGAGAGATAGATGACCCCACGTCAGCACGTTGGACACACACACACACACACACACACACACACACACACACACATACATGATCTCAGACCGGGGGTGTGTGAATGAATGATAGTGCTATCATAGGCAATATGAGTGTATGGGAGATTAATGGAACATGGCTGGTGAATGACACCATGGGAAATATGATCTATTACTATCTCTCACACGCACATGGATGCACGCACGCACGCACACACACACACACACACACACACACACACACACACACACACACACACACACACACACACACACACACACACACACACACACAGACTGCAGGGTAAAGAGCACACACTCTGCCAGACTGCTGCCAACATGGTGCACCAAAGCTTCATTGTATAAACACACAAACACATCTCCTCATGTGTGTGTTCATTATCAGAAACTGAACTGAGTTAGAAACCGTGTCAGGACCAGGTGTAATTTTCTGATTTTTTTTTTTTGAATGAATGAACTAACAGCAGCGGAGTACCCAGGAAGTGGTCATGGTGGATGGAAGATGTACAAAGTTCCCAACTATCACACCGGACACTGAGACGGAGCTGCACCTGTGGTTGAGGCAAAAGCACTTTGGATAGGGGGAGATGGTGGTTTTGATTAAATGTAAATAAATGTGCCTGAACTAACTGTTTCTGTATTAAACAGAAATTTGAATAATGTTGTAGTCACTACAAGTGGATACTGCACTGCAAGATCAGATATTACTTATAGAGACCAAAACTGTTTTTTGTACCAGGCTGTAAACATGTTTATTTCTGCTGTAGAGATGGACATGTTAAAATGGGAGTCCTTGGGGATTGACTCGTGTTTGAAGTCAGCCTCAAGTGGTCATTTGAGGAACTGCAGTTTTTGGCACTTCAGTGTAGGCTTCATTTTTCAGTCCTGTAGGTTGTCACATGGGCCAGAGTCAGGATTATAAAACCACAACCATCCCGCATAGGGAGTTACTCCTGACGGTCAGACCAGGACCAGCAGCTCCACCGCCATCAGTAAGTGAGTGAGAGGTGAATTGTAAAGTGGTTTGTCTATCTAGCTTGTGAAAGCTAGTAAGAGGAACTTGAGTTGTTGTTAACTGTTTTATAAAACTGTTACTTTAATGGCCAGGAATGAATGTTGATGCTTTCATCCAAATGACCTTAGTCTAAACTGTGCTCAGACAGAACATGAGATTACATTTGGTGTGGGGTTAGTATAACACACCAATGTGTAGCAATGTGTAGTACACTCCACTTCCCTCTGCACAGATTCATATCACAACAGTCAAGTGAGGAGCATCAGAGCTCGACATACATACAGTTTGAAGATTTGCAGTGAGGAAGTCTATCAAAGGTTAGGAACAAAAAGACAAAAGTTTTGATACAAAATGTCATTGATTATATCTTTGAATAAATTCCAATGATCAGAATCTAATTTAAATGGAATGAGACTTGAAGACCCTCGTTTGATAAGTACAGTTGAATCAGTTAATTTCTTTGTTCTCTTGTCAGTTTTATGTGTGGGTGACAGCGTGTAATAGCAACATTCAATCTGTTCCCTCTTATGTCTTACTGTTCCTCTGATATTTCAACAGTTACCCTGTTATTTAACCGAACGTGTCAATCAGAGACATGAACACAAAGGCTCTCAATCATGAGCTTAATTCTAATAACATACTATTGTACAAATTACAGTATGTGCAGTATTAAAAGAGTTCTGCTGCATGACAAGTATCAAAAGTAAAAGTACTCCTTATGCATCAGAATAGCTTGTGTCAGTGGTATATTATTATACGGTATATAATTTCATTGTTATTACTCATGCATTAAAATGTGTGCGGGTTTTTTTTTCTTCTTTTTTTTCAAATGTCGTCACTGGTCAAGGTGAAGCTGATCTGAACTGCTCCATAAACTGTAAATGCAACATGTTTTATTCACTGATCATTTTGAAAATCTTAATGTTTAAAGGAGCAGCTACAGTGCACATGTTAATAAGTGTCTCTCTCTTAAATAAGTGTAATGGGGTAAAAAGGAGAATATTTCCCTCTGAAATTGTGAAGTAGTCGGCAAAAATAGTTCCTCAAAAGTAAACCTAAGTACAGTGCTTGATAAGTGCACTTATTAATGTACAGATCCTTTACACCACTAGGTTCTGTACAGCACTGTGGGAACAGGCTTAAGACGTCCTCGTCAGCAGTCTTTTCAAAACCACTGATTATTATGTTGAACAACCCAAATGCAAATCCAAAGGTGCAGGAGAAGCAGTTATTAAAAAACAGACAGATACATCTTTGAGTGACAACCCAGCATGGTGATACAGTAGCTGATAAAACAGCCTGCACCAGCATTAAAAACCTCATATAATGTGTAAGCTGTTTTTAGTTTGTTTTAGAACAACTCTGTGTAAGTTTAATATCAGATTCAGGGGAGGTCAGCTGTGTGTGAATAATTATTGCAACACAATCCTTGTCACTAAATTTAGTCTGAGAGCTTATTTAAAAAAAAAAAAAAAAATTAATTTACATTTTATTTAATCAGGAAATCACATTGAGATTGAGATCTCATTTAAAA